TTTTGTGATGAGTGTTATGGTGAGTGTTATGATGAGTGTTGTGGTGTGTGTTGTAGTGAGTATTGTAGTGTGTTGTGATGAGTGTTGTGATGAGTGTTGTAGTGAGTGCTGTGATGAGTGTTGTGGTGAGTGTTGTGGTGTGTGTTGTAGTGAGTGTTGTAGTGAGTGTTGTGATGAGTGTTGTGGTGTGTGTTGTAGTGAGTGTTGTAGTGAGTGTTGTAGTGAGTGTTGTGGTGTGTGTTGTAGTGAGTGTTGTAGTGAGTGTTGTGGTGATTTTTTTTACGGGGTATAACCCACCCGGGCACAGGTTATCGACCCACAACGGGGCCTAGGGGGCGAAAAAATAAGAATAGAAAGAAATAAAAAATAAAAAATAAAAAGCTTATGTTAATCTATACCACGAAGATGCCGGAAAACCAGCTTTTTGAAGCGAGACAGATTGTATGAGTTTGGAAACACAGAAGGAGGCAGAGCATTCCACAGTTTGGCTGTGTGAGGAAAGAAGGATGTACTATAACGGGTTATTCTTGTGTGACCAACATCCGCAGAGAAACGGTGGGCACCACAGGCAAGACGTGTGTTACGAGCCCATGGCCTTGCCGGCGGTACACAGGATGCCAGATCCACCGAACATTGCCCGTTAAAGTACCTGTAAAAGATAGAGAGTGAAGCAACATTGCAACGAAGAGAAAGGGAAGAGAGATTATCAACTGAAGGAGGAGAGATAATAAGACGAAATGCCTTTGATTCCACCCTATCTAACAGTTGGACAGAAGAAGAACCACCCTAGATGAGTGATGTGATGTTTTGTTGAGTGTTGTGATGAATATTATGATGAGTGTTGTGATGAGTCTTATGATGAGTGACGTGGAGTTGGAATATAGTCTTGTGATGAATCTTGAGAGGAGTGATATGTTGTTGTGATGAATATTGTGATTAGTGTTGTGATGAATATTATGATGAGTGTTGTGATGAATATTGTGATGAGTGATGTGGTGTTGTGATGAGTGTTGTGGTATGGATTATGATGTTTATTGTGATGAGTATTGTGATGAATATTTTGATGAGTGATGAGTATTGTTATGAGTATTGTGATGAATATTATGATGAGGGTTGTGATGAATATTGTGATGAGCATTGTGAAGAGTATTGTGATGAGTGTTGTAGCACAAGTAGCATAAGACCTAAATATTTCACCTGTACGGCTGTAACTAACGGATGCAATAAAACCATCTAGAGCATGAACAGGTGAACGGCAGTGAACAAAGGGCGTTAAGTAGAGAACACATTCGATCACTGTTCATAGCAGAGCGTGATACATTGAACAGTAACACATGTAGAGCGTGTAGCATTACCTCCCTCCACTCCCCCATCACTCATGGCACTGGGATACGTAAATGAATTATAACTACACTTGTGACGCTATTGAGATGTGCTGTGTTGATTTGGTTGTGTAGGAAGAGTTTTGTTTACGAGTTGGTTAGGTTAGGTTAGGTTAGGTTAGTCTTTAGATGAAATAAGGTGGGATGGAGATTTTTCCGGTGATCCGAATGAGGTTTTAGGAATAATGGGTGAGTTATGGTAATACAGAGGTACTACAGAATGGAACTACACTATATAAAGGTCACGGGTTCTCTTAGGTCGGCTGAAGGTGTGTGGTGGTGGTAGTGGATTTATTATCTTAACTACTGTCTGTATCTGTCTACTATCACTGTCTCCTTTCCACAGTGATTTAATTTAACTTTTTTTGTAGTTGAGGGTAATTTAATGTATCATAACTACCGCTGACAGTGACTTAAAGAATCTCGACTGTGGTGATTTAAAATGTTTCATTATATTTGTCTACTGTCGCTAACCTTTGTCCACCATCATCAAAGTAACTTAAAAAAAACCGTCCACAATGGACTACTGTCATTTACTATTCTGCTATTGTACAAATGAAAAAAAAAATATTAATAATTAACTTTCAATAACACTTTTCTCACTTAAAAACTCTCGATTCACTAGTTACCTACCTGAAAACTTATTACATGATCTGAGATTTTTTTTTTTTAATAATTTCTACAAAAAATTATAAATTGACTTAACTTTCACACTTTCTCTACTATACATTGATTAAATGACTTTTTTTCACATTTTCATGCCAAACTTTCTCGCTTTCACGACATAACTCAGAAACGATTTTGGGGGGTTCTGAAATTCCTAACAATGATATCAATAACTACAGCTGGGATTCCAATTGTTCGACAGTTAATATTGACTTACAACTACCACCCCATTTCGTACTTTCTAAAGGAACTACCATTTTCACCATACTACTACTACTACAACTATCACCACACTACCATTAACACCATACTACTACTACTACAACTATCACCACACTACCATTAACACCATACTACTACTACTACAACTATCACCACACTACCATTAACACCATACTACCATTATCACCATCACCACACTACCATTATCACCATACCGCTACTACAACTATCACCATAGAGGGAGCACCATTGTCAACACCATGAAGCTACACTGACGGCTACAAAAGGTTAGGTTAGGTTAGGTGAGGAAGTTCATTATAAATCACACTAAAAGAACATTGAAGAATACTCGTCTGAGTTCATCAATGTTCATGACAGATCCCAAGTGAACATCACCAAGGTTCAACAACGATCAACTGAACTTTATGAGCGATCAGGAAGTTTCAGAAGGTTCAATAAAGTTCAGGAGACAGAATAGGTTGAACTGACACAAAGGAAGGTTCAGTAAACATCATATAACAAATATATCAAGAGTTCAGATCGTAAAGTAATATGCGTGGGTTAAGTAAGGTTCAACTGGGTTCAATAGTTCATCACTAAGGTTCAACGAGGTTCACTAATTCATCACTAAGGTTCAACAAGGTTCAAATGTGTTCAACGGTGATCATTCAGGTTCGTCGAGGATAACAGTTTTAACGTGATTCATCTTGGTTCAACGAGCATTATCAAAGGTAAACAAGGATTATATGGGTTCAACAAGGCTGTTAAGGGGTCAACGAGGCTGTTAGGGGGTCAACGAGGCTGTTAGGGGGTCAACGAGGCTGTTAGGGGGTCAACGAGGCTGTTAGAGGGTCAACGAGGAGCATTAAGGTTGGGTGTGGGTCATGGGTGTTGTGTGTGGGTGAGGGGTGTTGTGTGTGGGCCGTGGGTGTTGTGTGTGGGTCATTGGAGTGGGAGAGCGATAATGTTGGAGAGACGGATAAATGTTGGAGATGAGATTGGATTTTGGAGGAGTTTGTAGGATGTAGAAGGAAGGGTGAAGGTTGGAGGGCTGCTTAGGTGTTGGAGAGTGAAGCGGGTGTTGGAGGTGCGTATGTGTGGATGGTGGAGTGCGAAGCGGGTGTTGGAGGTGTGTATGTGTGGATGGTGGAGGGTGAAGCGGGTGTTGGAGGTGCGTATGTGTGTGGATGGTGGACAGGAATGGTGGAGGGTGATGTGGGTGTTGGAGGGGCATGGGTGTTGAGGTGTAAATGTGTGGATATGGAGGTGAAGCGGGTGTTGAGGTGAAGTGGTGTTGGAGAGGTGAATGTGTGGGTGTTGGAGGTGTGAATGTGTGGATGGGTGGAGGGGTGAAGGGTGTTGGAGGGTGAAGGGTGTTGTGCGTGTGTATGTGGATGGTGGAGGGTGAAGCGGGTGTTGGAGGGTGAAACGGGTGTTGGAGGTGTGTAAGTGTGTGGATGGTGGAGGGTATGGTGTTGGAGGGTGAAACGGTGTTGGAGGTGTGTGGATGGTGGAGGGCAGAAGCGGGTGTTGGAGGTGCGTGCGTGTGTGTTCTCTAGGGAGGATGGTTGGAAAGGTAAAGGAATGGTGGATGGACTGAAAGGTGGGAAGGAAGGGGTGGGGGGTTCTGGTGGGTGGGGAGGTCTCTGGGTGGGTGGGGGAGGGTTCCTGTGGGTGGGGTTGGTGGGTGGGGGAGGGTTCTGGTGGGTGGGGGAGGATTCTCTAGGGAGGGGGGAGGGTTCTGGTGGGTGGGTTCCTGGTGGGGTGGGGAGGTTCTAAGTGGAGGGGTTCTGGTGGGTGGGGGAGGGTTCTGGGTGAATGTAATCTGTGGGGGGGAGGACCCCCAGGTGGGGGGGAGGGATTCCAGTGGGGAGGGGGAGGGTTCTGGTGGGAGGGTTCTGGTGGGTGGGGAGGGTTCTTGCTGGTGGGGGAGGTCTGGTGGGTGGGAGTAAGCTACTGGAGGGGAAGATGGGTGGATGGTGGGTGTTGAGGGCGGTGGGCGTAGGAGGTGGGGGGGTAGGGGTGGGTGGGGGTGTGGGTTGGGCGGGTTGGCGTAGGCGGGGCGGGTGGGTGTAGGCAAGGCGGGTGGGTGTAGGCAGGGTGGGTGGATGTAGGAGGAGTGGATGGGTATTGGAGGAGCAGGTAGGTTGTGGTAATGACTCATGCTAGAGGTCATTATCAGGTCATGGTAACAGTTCCCCTACAGGTGTAAGTCAATCAATCACCTTCACAGTAATGAGTGCAATAGTAATATGATCAATAACATCAATAGCAACAGCAGCAACGAGTCATCTCTCTCTCTCTCTCAACAACAACAAAAACATCAGCAAAAAGCATGCAGGTAGCGGGCATAGTGGGGAGAGGAGAGAAGTGGATGTGATGGGAGACGGGGAGGAGGGTGAGGGGTGGGAGGAGGTCAACTGCTACATCATCTCCCCGCCTAGGCTGACAGGTTCTGGCAGGTCGCGCCACCTCTCTTGACATTCACGTATGACACTTGTGAATGACGACACATTTTCTCTACTCACCTCCATTTAGTGTCTTTTGGTTATGAATTACCGACATCCAGTAAGGGAGAACAAGGAGGCAGAGGTGAGGTATGACTGGTGGCGGGGGCGTGGCTAACGGCAGCTCCACCCCCTTTGTGACCGGGGTGGGCTCATAGGCTCCGCCCTCTGGCCTCCACCGTCATATAGGGCGCGTCGGAGGTTGGTGGCTCAGTGGCCGCCCAGCAATGGTCGTGTGGGACCTCTTGGTGCTCGTGTTCCGCATTCTGTGCTTCAAGCCGGCCGTCATCGTGATCTGAGCAACCATGGAGCATAAAGGCCTCGATCCCACTGACGTTTACTGAGCGTCGCCCACTAGGCCTCTTACTAGTCCTCTCACTTGCTCTCACCACTACCTGCCTGACGGTGGTCCTGCAGCCTCGTCTGCCGTGGTCACCACCACATCACCACTTAGTTACCGCACCATCCGCGGCTACACGCTCCATTTACCATGAGTTTCGCTCTGGATCCCCTGGATCCCACGGGTATATACTGATGGCGCAGTGCCGCCAGTCCCTCCCCAACCATGGCGCCACACACTCCCTCGTCGCTCCTGCAGTTCCGCCTCGCCCTGTCCCTGCTGTCCTTGCTGGTCGCCCCCTCCCTGGGGCTCCTCCCACACTTTCTAGATGGCGACGTTGTGGATGAGAATAACCTAGGGAAGGGGGCGCCGCAGCCACTCAGCCTCCCGGACGCTGTGCGCCTCTTCCAGCTCCTGCAGGAGGAACAACAAGTCAACGCAGGGGGAGCAGAGGGCCGCGCCAACCAAGAGGATGCAAGACTCATTGGCATCACAGACGGAGGCGTCTACAGAGGCGGTGAGTGTCACTCAAGGTCAATAATACTCCTCTCAACATTCACTCTTAGTTGCTACCCTCACTACGCTATTCTTTCTTCTCTTCTCTCTTAATACTGTGACATTCCAATAACTACGAATACTTTGTCCAACTTTATATTTAGTTTTCACTTGGGCTTAGCAGTCTGCGACCAGTAGTGTATTAACACATGTTTATATAAAGTGTGAGCAGGGCAGGTAACGGTGGCCCCAATAGCGCGACCGTAACGTTGGATTGCTAGGTGTGAGGGCGTTGAAGTCACCGAGGTGGAGGAGAGCAGAGCCAGGGTTCAAAGCCACGGTGTCATTGGCCACGGCACTCCACCTCTCGGCAGTCGCCTCACGTAGACCAGACGCTGCCATTGCTCTGCAACCTCCTAACCTCGACGTCAAGATAAACAGCAACTGTAAGACGTCCCGATAACCCCCAGTGTGTATATAGCGACTAAGAAAGGTAGTGGACATAATGTAAACAATACAAGTGTGTGTGTGTGGGCGGAAGAGTGTATTGCCCCTCGTGAACCAAGAATAGTGAGCACTCCGGGATCAGCTGGGCCCCTCAGGCGTAGCAATGTTGACAACGCACCATATTTATCCCATTAACCATTACCAAGACATGAGGCACAGTAAGATAAGGGCGTGTCTTAAGGTGTAGTTCTTGGTGTTGAGTGCGATGGTGTTAGAGCCGCGGGTGTGCAACAAACCGGTTACTGAGAGAAAGTGTTTTTGTGTTGTTGCTTCCGCATGTCCCACCCACGTCAGCGGTGACCTGCCTCGTGCTCCGTTCATTCATCCGAGCGGCCCAACCTGCTGCTCTCTCACTCCTGCCCTCCCCTCTCTCTCTCCCTCATTTTTACCCCCTCTCTCACTCTCTCCCGCCCTCCTCTCACTTCACATGCCCCCTCTCCTGCACCTCCCACTTGCCCCCCCTCTGTCTCTTCTCTCTCTTCCTGCACTCTCCCACTCTGTCTCTCTCGCCTAACAAAGTTCGACTCAATAGACAGATAGACAGAGCTTAGAATATAATAAACAAAACATGATCATAAATTAATGTACGTAAATCGTGTGCAATCACTGGTGACGCTAAAAAAAAACTTTGTACGAACTCTCTGTACAAGAACATATACGCTTGTATTTATTTGTCTGTGCTGCCAAGTGTCTCTCTGTGGTGGAGAGACAGACAGAGATATGTGCGCAAACAGGGAGGGGAGGAGGGTTCAGCTTTTCATAATATAGATAGGATTAGAGAGAGAGAGAGAGAGAGAGAGAGAGAGAGAGAGAGAGAGAGAGAGAGAGAGAGAGAAAGAGAGAGATAGAGAGAAAATGTCAGTCACCTTGGAGAACTAAAAAAGTGAGTAATGGTGGTGAGGCAGGTAGGGAAGATGCACTACCTACACCCACCACACCTATTGTTACCTACAATTTGCCTACACCCGCCCATGATGTTATTTACACCCTCGATACACCCCAATTACACTGGCAAAAGGGATTGATGAGAGAGAAACACACACACACACACGCACACACACACACACACACACACACACACACACACACACCACACACACACACACACCACACACACACACATACACACACACACACACACATACATAAGAAAAGAGAGAGAGAGACATACATTGAAAGAGTCATAAAGATTGAAAGAAAAAAAAGAGAGAGAGAGAGAGAGAGAGAGAGAGAGAGAGCTAAGTAACAGGCCAGGGTTTCCTTCACCACAGACCGTTCTCATCAGCTGTTGAAAGTCTTCGGTGTGCTGGAGGAAGCTCCCAACCCCAACCCCACTCCCAACCCCCAACCCCCTCCCCACACACCTCACCAAGCCCGTTACTGAGGGGGGGGGCTACAAGGGGGTGATGTGAGGGGGGAGGAGGTTTAGAGGTATGGTGAGAGGGGTAAGAATTGGTTGAGGGGAGTAGGAGGAGGCGAGGGAGTGAGTGGCCAAGTGGGGGAGTAGGGGAGTGAGTGGTCAGGGGGGAGATGAGGGAGTGGTAGGGAGAGTGGTGGGGGAGGGGAGGAGTGGGTGGGGGAGAGGGGGAGTGGTCGTGGGAGTGGGGGGAGTGGTCGTGGGGAGGGGTGGGAGGGAGTGAGTAGCCGTGGGGAGTAGGGGAGGAGTGGGTGGGGGAGTAGAGGAGGAGTGGTCGTGAGTGGGGAGAGGGGAGGAGTGGCTGGGGGGGAGGGTAGGAGTGAGTGGGGGAGGGGAGGGGAGTGGTCGTGGGAGTAGGGGAGGTAGGGGAGTAGGGAGGAGTGGGAGTGGAGTGGGGAGGAGGGGTGGGGAGAGGGTGGGGTCGTGGGAGGAGGAGTGGAGTGGGGAGGAGGGGGTGGTGGTCGTGGGGTAGGGGGTGAGGGTGGGGAGTGGGGGAGGAGTGGTCGGAGAGTAGGGAGTGAGGGAGTGAGTAGGGAGGAGTGGTCGGGGGAAGTAGGGTGAGTGGTCGTGGGGAGAGGAGGGTGGTCGAGTGAGTGGGAGTATAGGGAGTGAGTGGTCGGGGAGAGGGGAGTGAGTGGTCGTGGGGAGTATAGGAGAGTGAGTGGTCGTAAGGAATAGTGGAGAGATGAACTGGTAATGGGGAGGCGGAGGGAAAAAGCTGTTCACGAAGATAAAAAATATAAATAAAAAAAAATATTAAAGGTAGAACAAACTCACACTTTTTACTTCCAAAAATATAATACACAAATAGAACAACAGAGAAAAGTAGGTAAAAATACGACTAACCCTTAACCAGTTGTACCGTTACCGAGATGAAATTAAACAAAAAATCAATAACAGCTTTCCTCGTCCTGACAGTAAAGAATTTAAGGTCATATTTTTTTTTTATTAACTCCGAGGATAACAGGAGGAAGGACACAAGTTTAATATATAAATACATGATAAAGAAATACGGTACTAAATACGTAGACAGTATTATATAAAAGAAGGTTCAACAACATGGGAAGCACGACTGAGTGTATACCAAGACTGGCTGCTCTACTTCCCACACATGGACGCTCCGCTAACGTCACACACAGATGGCCTCCGGCACCAGAGCCTCCTGGCGGTCGGTGGCCGTAACTTATTGTCACTTTGATGTCGGACGCTGGTGTTAACTTGAGTAGCGATGTAGACAAGATAGTCTATATGAACAGTGAAACGCGCGTTGAGAGGCAACAGATACAGGCAGATGACGGTATGAGGGGGTGGGGGGAGGCTATGGCACTAGTTCTATAAATAGTAATGGGGCCGGTCACTCTGCCGCCGGGTGAAAACCAGATTAGTCCTTGTACTCAGATCCTCCCCCCCATCCCCCGCTGCTACATCCGTCTGTTAGTACACGTCTGTTAGTTAGTACACGTCTGTTAGTTAGTACACGTCTGTTAGTTAGTACACCTGTTTGTTAGTACATCTGTCTGTTAGATAAAATATCTGTCTGTTCGTTAAAACATCTGTCTTTTAGCTATAACATCTGTCTGTTAATACACCTATCTGTTAGTACACCTATCTGTTAGTACACCTATCCGTTAGTACACCTATCTGTTAGTACACCTATCTGTTAGTACACCTATCTGTTAGTACACCTATCCGTTAGTACACCTATCTGTTAGTACACCTATCTGTTAGTACACCTATCTGTTAGTACACCTATCCGTTAGTACACCTATCCGTTAGTACACCTATCTGTTAGTACACCTATCTGTTAGTACACCTATCTGTTAGTACACCTATCCGTTAGTACATCTATCCGTTAGTACACCTATCTGTTAGTACACCTATCTGTTAGTACACCTATCTGTTAGTACACCTATCCGTTAGTACACCTATCTGTTAGTACACCTATCCGTTAGTACACCTATCTGTTAGTACACCTATCCGTTAGTACACCTATCCGTTAGTACACCTGTCTCTTAGTTCATACATCAGAACACCTGTTATTTGTACACCTGTTCGTCTTTTAATACACCTGTTAATTACAAGAGAATCAGCACATTCATCTACTTCCTAAAAGTGACCAGGTAAACAGGACAAGGAAGCAGAGAGACGATGGGTGGGAGAGGGAGGGAGGGAGGGGGGGGAGTTGGAGTCACAAGCGTTCACTGGTAATAATCGTATCAATGAATATATTATGTATATATTATCAGGTGGTATAAACAATCTATTTTCACCCTGGACTGATATCTAAGACGTAATACAAAATCAATCATCCAGAGAAATGTAATAAAAGAGTAAAAATAGACAAGTAAAAACAGCCAAGGATAAAATAATAACAAATAAAAATAACCGATAAATAATAAAAGGAAAAATTAATATCCTTGGGTTCCCTCAAAGACGTTGGCTGTCGACGCTCAGTTTCTGTTTTTTGTGTGAGATAACATCATACTCTTCTATCTCATTTTACAATCAATATTTTCTCTCTTAGTCACACGCTCCAGCCTCGATACTTAGAAGAGAAAATTATAAGGTTTGAAAATTATATTAATAGTTGTTATTTATTTTCCTCTAATGCCAATGGAGTTCATGTTATCTGTAAAAAAAATAATAATTAGGGGAAAAAAACACTCTTGTCTTGCGGACCTTGGAAATCCTCGACTGACAGACCTTGAGACTGTCATGTGCGTTCAGTGTAACCCTTATGACTGTTAGTGTGTGTGTTGGTGTGTGTGTGTGTGTGTGTGTGTATTGGTTTCTGTGACTGACTGTTTAAGTTTAACAATACATCTACTCGACGTTCACACACACACACATACACACACAACAAACTGGTCCTTACATACGGGTGAGTTTACGGAAACACGCTCTTCCGCAAAAGCACACTCTGTAAACTGGATTTACCTGTTAGTTGTTACCTTCTGTAAAATAATGTGTTTCTGATGATGATAACGCCGAGTATAGAATAATAATAATAATAATAATAATAATAATAATAATAATAATAGTACCTTCAAGTATAAATAGCGTCTATATATACTTGAACCAAACCACAGTGGACACAT